ATTATAGATAGTGATTATGATAGTAATAATGATGATGATTATGACAATAATGATGATGAAAATGATAATGAAAATAATAATAATAGTAGTAATAATAATAATAATAACAATAATAATAACTATGTTCTGAACAAGAATAATGATTATAATAATAACGATAATGCTACCTTTATTATAAAGAAAACTTTCATATATGTGTATAAAAAATGGTGGAAATTAGATACTGTAAGTAAAATAATAATAATATTTTTTTATACCTATCAGGTATATTATTAATATATATATTTTTTTTAGTTATTAAAATTATTATATAAACGAATTGATCTAGTTATAGCTCGGATCTATAAGAAACAAAATAAATCAAAAATTAGAAATGTTGTATCAAAGATCTATCAAGAGATAAATCCTCTCAAAAGAGTTTCTTATGGACACTTAGCGAAGAGGCGTTAATATCTGAAAATAGAGATAAAAGTAAAATAAAAATATATAATCAAGATACTGAAGAGGAAGAAGAAGAAGATGAAGATAATGATGATTATAACTTAATTGTGATTGATAAAGGAAAAAGAAAATGAAATCAAATATTATCATTATCATTATCAAAAATAAAAGAAAACATGATTACGAAATATCAAAGAAAAATAAAAAAAATAAAAAAATTTGAAGAAAATGAACAATTTTATAATAAATATTTAATAATAGTAATAATAATAATGGTAATAATAATAGTATATTTTTAGGACATTTGAATATTTTAAATTTTCTATATTTTTATTATAATAGTATATTTTTAGAACATTTTAAATTTCATACATTTATTATATGCAATAATAATTATATTAATAAAAATAAATGGTTATCGGGTATATTATATATATATTATATAAAATTATATAAAATTTGTGCAGTAATAAATAAAGCTATTAATTTGTATAATTTATTTGAAAAAAGCATTCAAATACAATATGACTACTACACTTATTAAGTATCTAATAGATATAATAAATAAAAGTATTGGAGGATCGATAGATATAATAAAAAAATATCAGACACTTATCAGAGGGAAGAATATATCACTGACAGGTCTCCAATATTGAATAAAAAAATTGGATACCTAATTGATATAAAAAAAATAGCTGAAAAATAGGTATCCGATATGTGTAGTATATATGACCGATAAGTTCCTGATAAGTGTCTGATATTAGAGAATAAGATGACACTTATCAGGTACCCGATATATGTCAAAAAATATATATTGAGTACCTATCGGACACCATAATAAGTATCCGATAGGTATCTGATATGTCAGATTTTAACCAGTATACTTGTAAAATTGAAATTGTTGAAATCAGCTTTATGAATATATGATTAAAGGTAAGAGTTTTTTTTTTCTTTAAAAAAATAAATAAAACCTATATTTACCTTGTCTCTTGTCTTCTTTTCCTCATCTTTCACTGGTTTGTGAAAATACTTGTAAAGACGAAATTGTCAAAATCAAGTTCACGAATATATAATTAAAGGTGTGTTTTTTTTTTTGTTAAAAATAAATAAAGCTTTATTAAGGATAATTTTAAATATAGATGATATATTTAAGCTTAATTATTTAAGTTTTATTCTATATAATTATGAGCTTTAATTTTTTTAATAAAATATGTGAATATACACTAATAAAATAGATAAATATACATGCTAATAAAATAAATAATAATTTATTATAGGTCAACTTTTATTTATTTATTTTTGAATAAAATTTTGATAATATACTTATGAGTAGTTTTCTTTAAATTTATTTTACCTTCTTGTGTATAATTTTTTATTTATAAATATAGAAACTTAAAATATACTTAAAATATAAAATTGATTTGTATATATATATATTTGTTTATTTTTCTATTTCACATTTAAATTTATTTTAACTCATACCCTCTTATATTTTATTTACTTATTTACTTTGAAATAATCTTAAATGTTATTTATATTCAAACTTATTTTAACTTACATATGCTAATATTTTATTTATTTACTTTGAAGAAATCTTTAGAAAATCATATATTAGTGCTTTTAGAATAATCTTGAATTTTAAATTTATTTTAAGTGTTTATTTTTTTTATTTTTACATAATATACTTACCTACTTTTTTTGAAATCAAATTCATGGTATGATAGATTTAAAGTTAAGTTTTTTTTTTTTTTATTTTATTTTTAATAATATATTTATCTTTCTCTTCTTAGAATCAAGTTTTTGACTTTTTCCTCTTGAAATCAATTCATAAATTAATAAATGTTTAATATGATTTCTTACTTTTTTTATTTTTTTTTTAAATAATATACTTACCTTTCTCCTTGAAATCAAATTTATGAGTTTTGTATTTTGTGATAAACATAAAGTAAGTTTTCTTACTTTTTATTTTATTTTACTTATCTTTTTTTTATTGGAATTGGATTTGTAAAGTGAGTTTTATCACTTTTTTTTTATTTTATTTAAATAATATACTTACTTTTTTTTATTGAAATTAGATTCACAAGTTTATAACAAATATAAGATAAGTTTTCTTGTCTTTTTTATTTTATTTTAAATAATATACTTTTCTTATTGAATTTATATTTAAGCTTTAACTTTATTTTTATATATACTTTTAAATAGACTTGTATAAATATATTTTTTAAGGTAATTATTTTTTAACTTTATTTCTTGAGCTTTATTTTTTATATATTAATATATAATAGATAAGTAATATAATAATTAAAATGAATTTTAAATTAATTTTAAATAATTATTAAGAATTTTTAAATATTAATCAATTATATTTATAATAAAATATATTAAAAGATATTTTTAAAATATTAAAAATGTACCTAATAAATATTTAATTTATATTTTATATAAGTTGATAATTTCATTAAAATTATATTAAAAGATATTTTTAAAATATTGAAATTGTACTTAATAAATATTTAATTTATATTTTATAAGTATTTATAAAAATATTAAAAACATACTTAAAAAATATTATTAATTTCATTAAAATAATATTAAAATATATCTAATAAATTATTATTAAAATTAAAAAATATATATTAAAAAAATATCAAAATATACTTAAAATATATTTACTTATTATCTAGATTAGATATGTTTAAGGTAGATATTGATTATATTTTACATGTATTTTAAGTATATTTTAATGTTATTTAAATATTATTAAAATATTATTAAAATATACTTAAAATATTATTAAAAACATACTTATTTTTAAGTATGTTTTAAATATGTTTTAAGTATATGTATTTTTATAAGGAATAAAATAATAAAATAAACTAATATAATAAAATATAAAATAATAAAATAATATAAAAATAAAATGATAGTAAAGAACTATATATAATACTACATAAATTACATTAATTCACATTTATCTGTATTAATTTATATGTTACACTGAATATATTCACATACCCTATAAGAAATACACATATTTAAAATATATTTAATTATATTTGTGATAATTTACTTAAAATATTATTATTTTATAATTAAAATATTATTAAAACATATTTAAAATTAAGTATATTTTAAGTATATATTAAAATATACTTACTTATTACCTAAATTAAGTATTTTTTAAATATATTTTAAATATATTTTAATTGTAAAATAATAATATTTTAAATAGTTTTTTATATACTTAAAAAATATTTAATAAAATATATTTTAAATATCATAGTTTTTATAGGGATACAGTATATTTAGTTTTTATTAATTACAAATATATCTGCATATATTTGTGAATGAAATTTTCCTGATGTATTATCAATACAATTTATGAACTAGTTTTTGAATATCTTTACAAAATATGACAAAAAATAATATTCTTGAAAAGATAGTTTGAGAATTTAATTTACACTAAAATTAAATCACAAATTTATAGTATATAAAGTTAATAAATCCAATAAGCCTAAATCTTTAAATTCAATATAAATCACATATAATTTTCATAAATACTACAAATAAGTCATATAAAATAATTAACTTAAGTCAATTACATCAAACTTGAAGATCAAACAAAAATCTAATCAATTATTTGATGAAGAGTATACATTACACCGATATGGGTTGTGAAAACAGAATGTTATCAAAAAGGTCGAACGTACAAAAGAGGTTAGAAAAAAGATCAGAGCTGTAAAAATTATTAGAGAATATTTTCTCTGATACGTTTATAGATCAGATAGTAATTTAGTAAAGAAATTAGCCATGAGATATAAAATGCATCAAGTAAAGTTAATTGGTCAATAATATTTTTTATCGTGAACATGTTTAGGAATATCAAGCCTTAACCAAATCGCAAGTTCATCATTTTAGGTTTATCAGCGGAAATAGCTATTAATTATCAATGATACATTTTTTATATCAGTAATTTTAAATCAACTTTGAATAATAAAAGTAAGACCTTATCCGATTCTTTATAGAAAATATGTTTTAACCTTTAAGCTTATCATAATATCACAACAATTTGTATGTGTAATGAAATTTAATCATGATAGCATTACTAAACAAATGCATTTGTTTGCCCACATCAGACTTTATCTTTAACTTGTGAAATAGTGTATATATTGTATGTACTGGAATAATAAAACCATTACATATTGTATTGAAAAACTGATAAATTCTGTGTTATTGTTTTTACACTAATTCTATTTAATAAATATATTGACATTTTCATGAATATAGTATTCTATTGATTGCAACTGAAAGGTCACAATATCTCTTGAAAGATGGTATGCAAATACATTGGCTTTTAAAACTTCACTGTATTTCTTGTCCTTAAAATATTCTCTAAATAAATCAGTATCAATCTCTTTAGAATTCAGTAAAACTTTAATTAAACATTTTCCTGCTTCATGATTTAATTGATTTCAAAGGAGGTTTGCAGAATCAAATTTTTTCTTGACTTCAGTTAAGATCAACTGTTTAATTACTATAGATAAAGTTAAACAATTAATTCAAAGTATAATGTGTAAACTCATTGCAAAACAATAAAACCAATTCTTATATTCAAAGAATTGTCCAGCTAGAGATTTGTCTGCTACAGATTTCAAATTCACAAGATATCCACCAACTAAATCATATAGTCTTTCTGCTTCTACAGAATTAATCTCACACTTTTTGATTAGATATTCCATTGTTTCTTTTTTGCTAATGTCACCGATTTCTATTATTAATTTATTTGCTCGTGACCAAGCACTGCGTTTTAAAAATAACACTAATATGTAATTGTTATTTTTTAAAGAGTATTAAAAATTGCAAATACTTCTCCGGGGAACTGAACCTTCACTGGTAACAAATACAGCAGTAAATTTTCTTTCATCGACACCCGTTTTAGCTCCATCCTGAAGAGTGTCAAGAATTTTTAAATAGTCAAGGATCAATAAACTAATACTATCATAAATAATAACTGGAGGTTTGCCATATTTTTTTTTATATAATGTAGAAGTACGCTTAAAAGCTTCTAAAACCCTCTCCCATTTCTTCAGCCTTGGTTTTTTATAAAAGAAAAATTAGGATCAAAAGCTTTGTTATCAAATTAATGTCAAAACCAATTAACCTATCAGGAGTAATACCCAATATTTTATTTATTAATTGTGACGTAAAAGAGATATGTTTTTCAAATGTAAAGTTAAGGACTTCTCCCAATGCAACACCAAATTTTTCGATAGTTAAATCTTCAGGAATATTAAAATATATTACACCCTTCCTATACCTGCCACCCAAATTCAAAATCCAAATGTCGAAATCCCAAATGCCAAAATCCCAAATCCCAAATTTCAAATTATGATTAGTATTTTTTGCCAAAATCCCAAATCCCAAATCCCAAATACTAGTAATTTGGAATTTTAGCGTTCCAAATCCCAAATGATTTGGGATTTGGGCAACACGTATAACCCTTCCCAACTTCTTTTGATGTAATTTTTATCAATATTGTTTTTCCGGTCCCATGTTCATCACAGATCATGTAATAATTTGATACATTTTTATTTGAATTGAAAAGTCTTTTGAGATGTTCCACAACTAAAGATCATTTAACGAGCTCCTCATTCGCAATATTAGCTTCGGGTTTAGTGCCCTTTTTCAATATTTTAAGGAGGAGACGTTCATTATTTATGCTCCAATACCAAGTAAATGAAAGATCTAATGACAAAATGTCAACGAGGCCAGCTACAATTATTTTGACAAGTATAACAGTCTATAAATAATAAAAATATGTTGAGAACTTGAACTAAATAAAGAACAAACAGTAATTATCTTATACTGGAAGCTGTTTTGTGATGTCTTTTGCGAATTTATATAAAGTAGACTCTTTAGGAGATGTGTGGTGAGAAGGTGAAGAATTTGCATAAGGTAATAATTGAAGTAAGTCGGGTCTGGCATTTCTCAATGTAAAATTTGGAGACTGAAGGAGTAGTACTCGATAGTTAACGAAGTGAGATGGAAAAATATTCTTACAAAAGACGCAAGTGGTTTTAAAGAAAAACATTTTTCAAATCACGTGGTTCAGTAGATCATTAGTCAGAACTCACTAAAAAAATATATTGACTTTTTTAGAAATAAGAATGCTATTAGTAATTTTTTAATACGTATGTATCAGAAAAAAGTTCTTTTTTGCTATATTAATAAACTGTCTTTGAAGAGGTTAGGACCAGGTCAGTAAAATTTTTTGATAGAGTATAACATTTAAAGTTTTAATAAGATCCAATTCTCGAAAATGTTCAGGAATAACTATATTTAGGTTTTCGTAGTACCAAACGTACCTCAATTTTCGTTGCACAATTCATTCTTGAGTTAATCCCGTACCTGTTGTTTATTAATTCTCCTCTATGAAAGAATTGAAAGAATTCTATATAATGGTCGTGTTGCTCACCTTGCACTTCAATCGCAAATCTGTATTCTGGATAATAAATATCAAGATATAAACCACTTGGATATTCTGGAGTTTTAAAAAATTCAAGTTGACGTATCTTAGATAAAGGTTCAAGATATTTTGATACAATTTCTTGACACAAATTTTCATATTTATATTTTGAGCAATAGGGTCACCATGCACCTTGGTTTTTTATTCTATTGAGAGGAGCATACCATTCATGTCCTTTAGCACAACTCCATGGTAAATTAGTTTCAAGATTTTTATATCTGATTGAAAGACATTTTCCATTTTTACTATGTGTAATTTGTTTAGTAATTTCAAGAATATAAAAAATTGCACCAGTACAATGTGAACACACATTCCATTTATATCCCATAATACATTGCCATTGCATTGGAACATTGGAATTAATATATTCAATCAAAAGATATTTCCCATTTCTACTGAATGTAATTTTCTTTGCAATTTCAAGAGTAAGTGGCTTTCTATATGCACAATCTTGACACCACACATCTTGATTTTTTATTCTAGTAAAATTGACGATCTATTCATGTCCTTTAATATAATTTTTGAAAAAACACTCACCATTTTTACTATGTGCTAATTCTTTAGCAACAGAATATTGAATTTAGTATCAGAACAAGTAGAATATCAAGTCTTTCAATTTTTTATATTGTGAAAGTTGGTGATTTACTTATGTTTTTTTACACATTTCAATCTTAATGGAGTATTATAATTAATATATTGATTAGAAAGACATTGTCCATTTTGAATTTCAGCAATTTTATAAATATTATATATAAAATATTTAATCTGAAATGGCATTAAGAATTAGAATACTTTTAAATAAGAAACTAGATCTTTAAATATTAACATTAATTAGACTTACTTTACACTATAAAAGAAATATGTTAAGTTAATAATGTTTAAATTATATATAGTATTTTTTGACCATGCCAGCTATGCTATTATTATAATATGTAACAGGTAATTATATGTATATATTTTATTTGTAACAATAAAGTAATTTTTCTTTTATATTTAATATTGATGCAATTAAAATATAATTAAGTTACAATATAGTTGTAGTTAAATTCTTGTAATAATCAATTAGCCAGAGGTTAGCAGATATATAATTAATGTGACTAATAATCAACTAGATACTAATAAACTCAATGTTTCACATTATCAGTTAGTTTGCTTTTTATTCTTTTGACACAATTCTATTTTCTTCTACTTGGAATATCAAATCTTAGGTAAATTGCAAGTGGATTATTCTCCAGTCTATTTTTTCTTATATAAATAATTATTAATAACTATTGATACATTTTTAATATTATTTGTATTAAAGATAGTATCTTCAATTATTTTTTCAAATCCTCAATATTGTGAATTTTTTAGATAGAATTGTGATAAAAATTCGTATATTCTCAATTAATCTGTATATCATCAATTGTTTTGCAATTTCTCAATTGTTCTGCAATTTCTCAATCATTCTATAATTCCTCAATTATTCTGATTATTTCACAATTTTTTAATTATTCTGTAAGTTTGCGTAACTTGATAATTAAAAATTTTTTTTAAAAAAAATCTATATTTATCTTGTCCTTTACTTTTACCTCTTCCTACCCTTTGTTGACTCATGAAAATACTTGTGAAAGTTGAAATCGTAGAAATTGACTTTATGAATATATAATTAAAGATGAGTATACCTTTCACCCAAATTCAAAATCCAAATGCCGAAATCCCAAATGCCAAAATCCCAAATCCCAAATCCCAAATTATGATTAGTATTTTTTGCCGAAATCCCAAATCCCAAATCCCAAATACTAGTAATTTGGGATTTTGGCGTCCCAAATCCCAAATAATTTGGAATTTGGGCAACACGTATAAAGATGAGTTTTTTTTTAAAACAATAAAAAAAAATCTATATTTATCTTGTCCTTGCTTTTATCTTTTTTCTCTTCACCTTTTATTGACTCATGAGAATATCTATATAGGTTAAAATTGTAAAAATTGACTTTATGGATGTATGATTAAAGGTGAGTTTTTTTTCTTTTTTTTTTTTTTTAAAAAAAAAAATAAAAATTCATTTTTATTTTTAAAACAATAAAAACTCATTTTTATTTTTAAAACAATAAAAAAAAACCTATACTTATCTTGTCTTTGCTTTTACCCTTTTTTTCCTCACTTTTCATTAGCTAGTGAGAATACCTGTTAAAGTTTTGGTTATATTTGTCAAGTGACAAATTTCAGAGGATTTATATGAGAGGTATGTATTTGCATAACTTCTTTTCTCATGAATTTTCTTTTTAGTATAAACTCATCACCTTTTAAATAATATAAAATAATTTATTCTTCATTATAACAATTTTACAGATTTTATATATAAAAGAGCTTTATAGAGAATTAGTACTTTTGTAATTTTTCGAGTTAGGAGATCTTTCTCACTTCCTATCAGTTAACAAATAACAAACTGAATTACCTTTCTTTAGCTTTTCTTTATTTTTTTCAATATGCTACTTATATTTCATTGATAATCTAGATTCTATCCTTTTTAATCTGATGACTTCCTTTGGTACTAATCTCTATTTCTTTGAACCTGAAGCTCAAATAAGACATGTCTAATAATTATTTAGATAATTGATAATTTCTAATAAATATTTAACTTTTTCTTTTATTAATTTAAGGTTTGAAGTTATATTTTCAATAACAAATTAAGTTTTATAAAGAATTTTCAAGAGTGTCTAATTGAATCTTTTAACAAGAGCAAGTTCTCAATAGTTATATATACCAATTACATGAATTATAACATTATATTCTTTCATTAACTGGTTTACTGATTTTTGAATTTTAATTTATCATCATATTATAGTAATTGAAGATAGATAAGTAAGTTATTAAGACTATCATAAATCTTCTTAAATACATTTGTAACTTCATAGAATTTTTTTGATATAAGTGAAATTAAAGTCTTGTACCTACTACTTACATTTATTATATTAAGTACTGTTATCTATTTTTTACTCTTATAGTAATTATGAGTGAGGAATAAGAGATCATATATATGAACACAGTTAAGATTATACATGTTCCCAAAATTGATTTTAGATTTTTGAGGTATTTCGACTTTTTGAGATTTATGCAAAATCTATTTTATATATGGAAGTAAAAAAAGTACCTAGTTATATGTATCTTTAATCAAAGAATAAATCTGGATGGTCAAAAAATTTCGGGTTTTAAGTAAAATAATTTTATCTTCTATGAAAAACTATTTTGACTTTTTTCCCCGAAATTGTAATTTCGGGGCCCAAAAATAATTTTGCGTGCAAGTATAGTTAAGATATATTTTATTATAACTATACTTACACATAAAATTATTTTGAGATCCCGAAATTACAATTTTGAAAAAAAGTTAAAATAGTTTTTTATAGAAAACAAAATTATTTTACTTAAAATCTAAAATTTTTTGACCATCCAGATTTATTCTTTGATCGAATATATATATAATTGAATACTTTTTTACTTTCATATATAGAATAGATTTTGCATAAATCTCAAAAAATCGAAATACCTCAAAAATTTAAAATCAATTTTGAAAACATATATAATCATAACTTATTCTGAAAATATTTTTGGGGTTGTATATTTATATGTCATATATTTTGATGTGTAAGTTACTTTTTAATTTTGAAAAGCTTAAATTTATATCCCTTTTTCTAGTATATATCTTTTAATGTTTTTATATTAAAGAAAAAATCAGTAAGTTAATAATATAATTCTCACAATATAAGATTTTAAAATTTATAACAATACTAGAATTATACATGACCCCAAAATTAAAAATTCAAAATCTGATCTTGATTAATTTAAAATGATCCTGAAATTGAATTTCAAAATTCAAAATTAATCTCGAAATTATTATAAAAGATAAAAATATTTATGGGAGGTCAAAATTATTACAGGAGACAAAATTTAGTAAAACCCCAGTCGAAATTAACATTTTAGTAAGGAAACAAAATAATAGTGTAATCCTGAAATTATTACGGAAGACAAATTTTAGTATAAACCTAGTTGAAATTAACATTTTAACAGGGGACGAAATAGTCATGAAACTTCAAAATTATAGATTTATAGATTTTTTTTTTAAAAAAATAAAATTTAGAGATTGTGTAGACAATTGCGAAATGGCGTGAGTAAGTTTTTTCTTTCTTTATTATTATTTTTTTAATAAAATAATTCATTTATCTTTCTACCTCTTAATTTACTTTTTTACCTCTTCTTAACTTATCTTTTTATCTCTTCTTAATTTACCTTTCCTCAGGTTTGTGTTCTTGAATTCACGAAATAGTGTAGGTAGATTTTTTATTTCTTTTTTTTATAAATATATTTCTTAACTTATCTTTCTTCAGAATTATATATAGGTGCTACCTAAATCTCAAATTCCAATCTCAAATCTCAAATTCAAATTATTTTTGACATCCCAAATTATTTTAGTACTTCAAATTATTTTTGGCATCCTAAATTATTTTTGACATCCCAAATTATTTTTGATATTTCAAACTATTTTTGACATTCCAAATTATTTTTGACTATATAAGTTAACTTGGGTT